TTGCATATATCCGGTATGGTGGTACTACCAATCACAATTAACAATATCAACACGGAAATTAATGTATTTGTTATTGACGATCTTTGTACAGACTTATTATTAGGAGGAGATTTCTGCGATAAATACAGTTTCAATATCAGCTATGGAGGAAAATATTTAACAATATCAACAGGGCAACAGCAGACAAGGGTAAAATTTCAACAACAACCGAATACACAACAGGTATTTCATCTTAAGACCTTGAATGACATTGCAATCCCACCATTATCGTCGAAAGTCATCCAAGCGGCATCATCGTCACCACCGATGTCGGCGATATTCACCCCATCGTCTAGAATGACAAATAAACAATACGTTATTGCACCCCATGCTATATTGACAATTGACAATACCAGTACCACAATATTAACGCTATTGAATACCACAACGTCCATTAAACGGATCCCACAAGGTACGACATTAGGACAAATTAAAAATCATGAAGACAACACATGCTGTTACGTACGTCATAATTCATGTAGCATACAACCCCAACACACTACGTCCATAACAACGCCAAATCCAATTTTATCAAAGTCAAAATCCTATTCGTCTATCCATAGTACAATGCACGAATTAACATCACATCTTCCACGTCAACAACAAGACCAAATATTATCCATATTGGTCAAACACAAATCTGTATTTGATACATCAAAAACATCAATTATGAACACCAACAACATCAGTCATCGTATTCCAATTCTTCCACAGCACCAACCGATTCAATCTTACCCATATCGTAAAGCTGCCAAAGAAACACAAATCATTAATGAATTAGTCAAGGAAATGTTGGCTAATCATGTCACATTTGCGCTGCGTGTTTCCTTTTCAGACGATTATTTCGTTCTTTCTTGTAATAAAGTATACAAACGAGAGTATATATCAGCGTCCAAACTCCGATCCAGGCGAATCTCAGACTGGTCCAGGCGAAACTTAAATCCGAGTTTGAACTAGTCTAAGCTCCGGTCCTAGTTTGACCTTCTGTCTTAATAGTCCGTGCAGTAGTGGTGTTTGGATACTGCACGGGTATAACACAAAATTTATCGTACTGAAAAGTAAATAAACAAAACTCTTTACTGCTTTCTGCAATGGAAAATCATAAGATTAGTGAGGAAATTCACTCTAATAGAATCAAACAGCCGAAAGGGCAGTGGCATAGAGTCCGAACTTTTTGTTCGTGGTATCATTAATGGTATAACATATTCAAGGGTGATTGTAAAAATACCCAATGTGCTTGCAGCAAAAATGTGTTTTGTTCAACAAATTACCATAAACATACAGGAAGCTATCAAAATCACAAAACATCATTTTTCGGTTGTTGTGCGCGTTTCGTTATGTGTACTGGATTTTCAAACGCTAATTGTTAATTATATTTATTGTAATTAAAGCAGAATTGATATTAACATCTGTTTTGGCCTAGTCCAATTTAAGTTTGTCTTTAGGAATTGCTGAGTCTTAGTTTGGCCTAGTTTAATCTGACATTGGACTAGAAGAGTTAGTCCAATCTTATATTGGACTAAGAATTTATCTTTCCTTCAACGTTGGCCTACTCGACAGTCCGATTGGAGTTTGGACTATTAAGATAGGAGGTCAAACTAGGACCGGAGCTTAGACTAGTTCAAACTCGGATTTAAGTTTCGCCTGGATCGGAGTTTGGACGCTGATATATACTCTCGTTTGTATACTATATTATATTACAAGAAATAATCGTCTGAAAAGGAAACACAGCGCAAACGTGACTATGTGATAAAGTGATCATTTATTCACTCATCCTTTTTGTAACATTCCCAGTGTGTTACAACATATACAGATATATACAAAAAAGATCTGTATTTTATGTGACTATGTGATAAAGTGATCATATATTCATTTATCCTATTTGTAACATCCCTAACCCTTTCAGTCCCGGTGACTCCTTAAGGAGTTACCCATGTTTTTCTTTTCAGCATTAAAGTATGGACTTCACAGTTCAATAGAGGTCAACAATATCTTCAAATTGACATATCGAATTACTATTTCTTACGTTCACACATCCTCCCACAATCTCCTTTTCTGTGATATAGTGACATTCGACATTGGAATTTTCCTTTAGTACTATTCTGCGTATTTTGGATTGTCCTATGTCATCTGTTCTCTTTCTTTTCTATGGTATATTCCTTTCGTTCTCTGGGATATTCCATCGTGTCATTATACATATATATGTGATCGTTCCTGTCATATCTCAGCTGGTTGTTCTTGTCCATCTCTCTTTTATTCTTTCTCCTGTTATTCATTATTCTTGTGACTTGTTATATCTCTGTTTACCACGTATTCAAGAAACTCAATATATTCATATTTCGTTTCTTTCTTGACTGGATAGAAATAATAGAATACGCCGAAGGCAATGTATTGTATGTTCATCACACCAAATAAGAACACAAACAACTTATATTTGTGCAGAGTGTGATGTTCCTCTTTGTGTTCCTGTTTGTTTTAAAGATTATCACACAAAACTGCATTATTAGTTAGAATTTCTTTGTATTCTCATAAAAACATCTTTCCTTTTCTTTGAAATACGAAATACAAATGAAATAAAATAAGGAATTAAAAAAATTATTTTTCACTTCTTCGAAAACAAGCTGGGACTGAAAGAGTTAAGGAAGCCGTGATATTCATCAAACGAGATCTAAAATTGACGTTTTTTCATGTGATTCGTGAGAAGAAGCTTATTTTTTCCAAACAAATTAAACAGAAGCGGGACGAGTTTTAACTAAATTTATAGAAGAATTCTTGATCTATTCAAGTATGTACTTGGAATTGAAATTAAACGAAATTACTTCGACAAAATACTAAGAATACTATGATGACGGACACTTTTCGTTTTTATGTAACCAGGAGGTTACAATTACGATATCGCTCGCCAATGCACCGAGTGTAAGGAAAATATTATATTCATAGACAATCGACATTCCTATATCGAATGCGCGACTCAGAAATTTTTTCTATTTAACTTTAATTTGTTGAATTTCTTTTTTCGAACGGTACAATGCCGTTACAATTCACTCATATTCTCAAGTTTCCATATTAGACATATCACCGCACAAAAATATCACTTTTTATTGAAATATCGCTGCATATACAAAAATACATGTCGCACGTGTCTCCGCATACGCTCATTGGTTGTAGCGTAGTCAAAAACCTACACTTCTATTTTTTCTTTGTGAAAAAATATGAAGAACAGCACTTTCATAACAAACTAATTTTGTTAGAATCGGAGGCTTTCAGAAAACCATCAAAAGCCATTTTTCAACGCATAAAAATCAGTACGTTGGAAAGAGGATACTTTGGACTATTCAACCATATATAAATCTCAAAATCAGTTTTTTGGACGAAAATCTACTTTTCTAAGTAATACGGATTTTTATAAGATGAACGATTCATCCCTGGCATATTTACTGAATAATTCTTTATTTTGCAGCTGTAGTTGAATATCTTTTTCGTAGGTATATTAAACATCTTATTTAAAAAAAAGAAACGATAAAAACATAAATTTAATTTAAAGATGAGGTACTTGAATTGAGTGGTAATGCCGCACGAGATAATCAGCGCTGTCGAATTACTCCAAGACATTTTCTACTTGCTACAAGCGACTGATGAAAAACTGAATATGTGTGTATATCACAGGAAGATTTTTCATCTGATATTTCCAGCCTCTTTAAAAATTATTGATGGAACAATCAGAAGAACAAAGAAATGCATAGATATGGTCAGTATCTTGTGTTTAATTACGGATAAATTCATATCTGCATTCGATTTCCATGAAAGAAACCTTACGCATAAAATGAGCGAAAAAAACCGCGTCCGTGTGTCATGACAATTTGTTTTCATTTTAAACCGTACATAAGCATATGATTTAAAAATCAACTTACCATTCTATAGCCCAGAGCTTGCGCAAAATCTTCACTCCTGGCATTATTTCTCCATCTCCTTTCACTTCCGAGTGCGACAAGAAAAAGTGAACGTTCTAGGAAGCGACTTCCAGTTTTTGTCCGTGCGTCACGACGCCTATTTTGATGTGCCTCAGTTCGACATCTATGCAGTTTATTGCCAATAAAAGATGTTCCCGATAGTCTTTGTGACGAACTCTTAACAATCCATCTCGTCGAAGAAACTAAACAACATTTACTTGGTAATGAAGTTGGAACTGAATACACGTTTGATAATCAGATTGAGGTTATTAGTCAACAAATATTTATGGTCGATAATAATGATATTGACGGAATGATCAATAGAACAATGAATCATAGTCAAATGGAAATAAATCTTAGTCGAAATTTCAATAACAGAACCAATGTCTAGTGTGAAAAACCACATTTCGTAAGGCAGTGATACATTCAGTTTAAAAGAGAAGTCTTTGTTTGACCGTAACTGATAGTTCGTGATTCTAGCATGCTCTTCCTCATACCACTTTATCATTATATATATATACATACCTACGGAAAGGATTATTTTAATGTAAATTTAGGTCAAATGACGTCAACGATAATACAAAATGAAATTGATTCACAAATGGAAATTGCAAAATAATAAGACTAATTTTAATAATAACAGTAAACAAACTTCAACACAGAGCACTCTATTGTCCACGTTTCAAAAGAGCGGTGAACTTACACACCAAGCTTTCTGGTAGGAAAAAGGTACAGATTTTCCTTTTATCTTTATATTTATAGATCATATTATGATTCAGATTCTGATGGAAGTTACAAAACATTTTCTAGACTAGAAATTGCCGCAACACTTATTATGTATAAAGTAAAACATAAAATATCAGCAAATGCGATTGATGACATCTGTTCATTTCTTCGACTTCTTGGTTTACAACAATGTCCACCAAAGGACGAGTGGCATTAAGGCATGTTTTCGGCCCAAAAAACTACAATCTAAGACACACATATTCGGAATCAGCATTAAATTCTGAATGGGATAGCGTTTAAGAATCGTTCTAAATCTAAAAAAAAATTTTCCGAAAAATATTACCCTTGAGGTGGTTACCGCAAAGTCGAAAATTTTTGTTTTCAAATTCGACCGACATAATACCTAGTCCTACACAATAGGCCATGCTGATCACGAATATCACAATTAGAACGTCCAAAAATGCTTCACTGTCAAATGACAGCCAAAACAAAAAACAACGTTGAATCACATCAAAAACAACCTCCAATCACATCAATATGTAGCATCTCTTTTTAGGATTTGTTGAGAAAAATCATTATTGCTACAAGTTTTTTATGAGAGAAATAGTTGTTTTGAAGAGAAACAGATTAAGTCTTTGCCTCCCTTAGTCATATCATGTACAAAGAGCAGAATATAACATTCCTTTTATCTCTCTTGACGTATTTATACAGCGCGTCACATAACCATTACGCTCCCCTCTGGAACTTAAAGTATAAATGATATCACAGAGTGTTATATACCAAATTAATTCTCATGCAAATCTGAATTCAGGAGGGTAACTAATAGGCCGTACAGCAACTACTGGATATGGAAATGTTTGAATGTTTTGAGCGACACTTCAAAATGAGCTTGTATTTTACAGTTTTCATTCTTCCTATACATTTTCTCATAAAATAATAGCAGATTGGTGATCTCCATCAAAAACTGCGTCGAATGATATACATATCGAGCTATTTGAGTTCAAAAATGTTTTTGAAAATTTTCCCCTGGGGTACCCCCCAGGATTTTTTTCAAAAAACGTTATATAGATACAGAGTTTTTCATCCATGTAATTCCATATACTGCCTTCCTACAAAACTAACTTGTTTTTGACTGCTATATTTAATTCGACAGAAATTGATTTTTTATCCACAGTTAGATCTTTCATTTCTATGGCTCGTTTCAAGAGATGAATATCTGAGTCTATTTTAACCCTGAATTTTACTGAACCCCCCCCCAGAATAGAAGGGCATGGCTTTCTCTTGTGTCCCGTCGGATCAAACTTTTTAGGGTGGCCTTCTATTAAGAGTGGCCTTCTAAACCGACCTCCTAGATAGAATTT